TATTATAATGTAATGTAATACATTTGTATATACAGTGTATGTATACACAACACCATATATGTATATACAACACTGTATATACATATATATTACATTACATTACATGCATTTAGCAGGCGGTCTTATCCAGAGTGACTTACAGCACAAGAAGTAAGTGTATAAACAACACCATTCAAGCATCATCACAAGTTAACTTGTGCTTATCTGAAACTAGACAGCCTAGAAAATGATGGGACATTGTTAAGTACATACACTGCCATATATCACAATGTCACAAAATCACAATATCCATAACTCATGGCAGTAATATAAGTATATAATACAAGTTTATATACATATTAAATAAATAAATGCTCATTACTTGAACTAGGCCAAAGCTAAGCAAAACAAGGGACTTATGTTGTCCCAGCTAAGGGCCCATCTAAAGCCCTGACCTGTGCAGTTTCCCTCAGCTTATCTCTGATCTGTCTGAGTACGTGTTGTCTGAAGTGAACCCACGGCTATCGCCCACATACAGTACTGAACCTGATGAGGCTTGTCAGTGACTTCGGTTAAGTAAAGAGCACTGTTGTTTGAACTTCCCAGTTTTTGTTAGCTTTCCCTTTAGTTTCAAGGTTTTGTGCTTTAACATGAAAAGAGAACACACACACTCAGCATTGACAAGACGCAGGTTAACCTCTGAACTCAGAAGCCACATACCATCTTTGAAACAGATTGACTTTGGCATTGCTGGTGATAGCTCTTGTGGTGACCAAACATGAGTAAAACCAAGTTGGGACATTAGAATGCTGATGTCTTTTCTCTGTTCTCATGACATAGTGCACATAGCATGACACCGAGGGGTACACCCATTTGGGCAGCAGTAACGGGGCTCCTTACTCTCATTAAATCTTAAGGTGTATTCATGCATACCTGTGACGCCGTCTCATTTAGCATCTGGGCAGGTTTGGCATTCTCCTGTTTCACAAACCTGGAGAGGAAATGAGAAGTCTGGGCCCGGCCGTTCCTTGAAAAAGGCAGACGGCTTAAAGGCTTTGGGAGCAGGGCCTTCGAGTGGCCATGGTTACCTTGGCTTTATTGCTGTTTGCCTTGGACCGCAAACGCAATTAAGGACAGGGAGGAATGTTTAGGCATGGGCAGTGATTGTTCCAGCAGGCTTCACCGAAGCTATTTGAGACAATGCATAGACCTGGTCTGTCAGACAGGGCCTCTGTAAACCATCTGGTGAGCATGTTAATACCTGTGAGTGGCACATTAATGATGACTGGGTTTCCAACTACATTATGCACTGGGTCAGCCCTTGTTCCAGTTAAGATTTATATTTCCATAGGGCTCAAGTATTAAAAAGAGCAATAAGCAGCAAAGACAGCATAAACAATAATTGTATATTGTGTGTGTATGCGTATGTGTGTGTGCACTTTATGAAGTATACTGAATGGCAGATTCACATTTTGTTCTTGGTCTGAATAACACCCATTACAAGTGTTCATTCTCAAAGGTCTGCAGGAAACACATATTACCATGTCACCTAGTTCATCCTCTCAAACTCTTGCCTTTTACTGAATGCATTGACTGAATGGTGTCCTCACTGACAGCTTCCTTGCCTTGTTCCCACAGGATCCTGGTCACTGTACACCGTGGTTTTTGACATGCTCCATGTCATTGCAGACCCTGCGAAAGACGCTGTCTAGCCGAGACGATGTCTAGGCTAAGCCACCAACCAGAAATTGCACATAGCCGGCCCCCTGATACACCCTCTCCTTTACTTTGAAGGCCAGGAGTAATCCCAGTCACATGTCTTCTGTGAGATTCTATCTGTTTAATGTCAGGGCCGGCTGCACCACTGCATCCAGGCGGTCTCCTCCCCGGGGCATTAGCGCTGTGTCCACATAAGATTATCTGTCTTTTCCCGCCTGACCGTTAGACACAGCTAGTACTGGCCTGGTCCTGGTCCAGGTCATCTCTGTCTGTCACATTCCCTGTCTCTTCACTCTGGGTTATCAGCCGCCATCATCGCAAACACACCCCAGCTCTCCCCCTGGGGCTGCTACCGTCAAACCCAGAGCATTATCTCTCCCACGCTCTCTCCTCCTCTCTCTCCCTCTATTCCCCCGTCCGTGTTTGTTCCTACTCGTTTATCCTTCTCACATTCTCCCTTCTGTCTCTCTCTCCTGCTACAACTCACTGCTCTATCTCTCTCTCACTCAGCCCGGCCCTACTCTCTTGCCTTTCTCTATTGCTTTCTCTTCCCACTACAAGTTAGTGCTTTATCTCTCCCTTGTTTACTCCTTTCTCTCTCTCACCTTTCTCTCCCCTCTTTCTCATTACAACTTGGATTTTCCGTCTCGTCTGTCTTTACTCACTTTATCTCTTTCTGCCTCTGTTCACTGCAGCTCCCTCTTCCTAACACAGTTCAGAAGTAAAAACGGAGGCGGAACAGGCTCACCAGTGAACGAGAACCTTATGGCTCCTTTCACTGCGGGCCACAGCTCTGTCTTATGATGTGTCATTATTAATTGAACCTTCCACTGGTTTTACGCATGAGGAATGAGTGTGTCAATATCTCTGCTTTCAATGTGGAATCAATTGAAGGAACGCCTCTGAGGATGGTTAAAAACATGAAGGATCCACTCGTATCTCACTTGTGCTAAAGCTCACTAATGACCAACCAGGTTCCACACGCCTAATCAATAACCTATATGAGCTTAATTTACAGAATGCGCTGTCTCTCTCTCTCGCATACCTGCTGAAATAACCCTGCAGTAACAACCTCTGGCTTCTTCTTACTGCCCCCAGAAGACTCCAGTAATGGTGGGGCTTCTGATGAAATACCCAGGCCGCGGATGAGAGTGGTCCCTCGTGAATTTTTTTCTTTTTCATTAAAATGAGTGGACGTTTCTCAGAATGCTCATTACCACCTTGATACATCTGTGTGTGTGTGTGTGTCTGTGTAATTACCTTTGCACATACACACACCACGCTGCCAAAGTATACCACTCTTCATCACTGCCAATACTCTGAAAGACTCCTTCACCATCCACGGCACTGTGCTAAGATGCAGCGCCGCAAAGAAACTAATTGCAGCCTCCAGCCTCCTTAATAGGGATCTTTTATTGTGCGAACACCTGCATTGAGATGCCTGGAAAGAGTGGAGAGTCTTGGAGAGGCTAAATTAGCCGCATTAGCCTCCTTTGCTGTCTGTGTGTGGAGATCTGAATGCTGACTGTTACTGTGGGGACTGTGTGTGTGTGTAGGGGGCGGGAGGTTAGAGGGGAGGGGCCGGTTAATTGGTCAGGCTCCTTTATACTCAGGGTTCTCGGCTTTTGCACAATGCTAATCCGCCCCGCCGAGCACCACGTGGTGCGAGTCCCACGCAGCGATGTCAGATAATTACCGCGTGTGAATATTTAGGCCCGGCGAACGCCAAACACCCCCGCCCGGAGAACAGATGGCGGCCCGCGACCATTAGGACGCTTTTTAGCTAATTACCAGGCCTCTCCCCGGCCCCGGAGCGCGGAGACGCAGCAGCCCTCCTTGGCCCGGCGCCTGGGGGGGAAAGGTCACGGCTGGGTTTGTTCCCAGCTGCCCGGCAGTGTGCGCTTCCTCTGCCAGTCGGCAGGGGAGGGGGGTCCAGCGAGGACAGGGACCGGAGGGGAGAGGAAATGCTAGACACGCTCACACGGGCGGCAGTGTCGCATAGTGGTTAAGGAGCAGGACTCGTAACCGAAAGGTTGCCAGCTCGATTCCCCACGGGGGCACTGCTGCTGTACCCTTGGGCAGGGTGCTTAACCCACAATTGCCTCAGTAAATATCCAGCTGTATAAATGGATAACATTGTAAAAACCTGTAATTGATATAAGTCATATAATAATAAGGATAATGTAATGTCCAGTCCTGTCCAGCTTTTCACACAATACACACTGCTGTGCTGAGGCATACTGTCACTCTTACGGACATACAGTACCAGTCAAAAGTTTGGACACACCTACTCATAGAAGGGTTTTTCTTTATTTTTACTTTTTCCCCACATTTTAGAATAATAGTCAAGACATCACAACTATGAAATAACAGAAATTGAATTATGCAATGACCAAAAAGTTTTTAAAAAATCAAAATCTTATAATTTAGATTCGTGAAAGTAACCAAAATATTTTTTAGAATTAAACATTTTTTTGGAAAGAAATTCATACATAGACATCGACTTCACTATTTATATTTGTCTAAAAAACAAATGTCAAGCATTTAAACATAAGCATTTAGATCATTCTCAAGCAGATATGAACAGTATATTCTCTTAGTATACACATTTCACACAAAAGTACAAACACAAGAAATGAGGGAGACTATATTACTTGTGACAGTTGGTCTTCAATAAAAACACAAAAACAAATATATACACACTTGTACAAACACACTTTCAGACACACTCTCACTCTCTCACACACCATACATATGTACAAACACACATATACAAACACATTCCCATGCAGTCATGTATACTATCGAACATGCTATCCAAACACACTCTCACAAAGATGTATATAATCTCACCCAGATAGACTCACACACATACACACACACACACACACACACACACACACACACACACACACACAACTGAGGGGTCAGAGCAGGACCCTGGGAGAGTTCTCTAATTGAATGCAGGTCATTAGGACAACAGTGACGTGAAAGCGGTGTGGAGATTTCATACATTTATGCATGTCATAATGACTCTGACATTTACTTGCTATTTACACGCATCCCCTCGTTGCTGTTTTTTTCCTCTTCTTCTTTTAGCATCCATCACAGAAAGTCAGATTAGGTAAAGCAGAGTCAATGCAACAAATTAAAACTGGTAAAATATACAGCAAGCGACCTTTAACCCCAGTCTGCACCATTCACCTCAAATACAATTCTGTCGCTTTAAAGTGTTTATTATTTACAAGATATTCCATGTAGGTGTGCGTTGCCATATTCGGGCATTACCACTGAATTCAGGGGCTGCAGTGTAGTGTAGTGGTAATGAGCAGGGCTCATAACCCAGAGGTTGCCGGTTTGATTCCTTGCTGGGGCACAGCTGCTGCACCCTTGGGCAGGGTACTTAACCCATAATTGCCTTTGTAAATTTCCACCTGTATAAATGGATAACATGTAAAAATTGTAACATATGTAAGTTGTTCTGGATAAGAACATCTGCTAATTGACAATAATGTAATGTAATGAATTCATACCAGTTGCTTGAGTGGTCTTGTTTACTCTGTGTTGTTTTCAGTTTAGCACTGGTTTGATGGATAAATTGTGATATTTATTGAGCAGGACCTTGCCATTTCTGTGCTAGCTCTTGAATGAAGGCTGAGAGATGTGGTCTGCTGTCACTGAGTACATGTTTACTGTGATTCAACCTGCTACAAAAAGTGCAAATAAAGAAGCCACACCTCTAAAGTGAGATGCGCCCAAGGACTCCCTGTGGTTTGTCTGTGACACTTGACGAGCCTTTCTGAGGCATTTAAGTGACCTGCGTCATTATCACACTGATGGAGCTGTCGTGCCCGTGAGTGACATACCGCAGTGCCACTCAGGTCTCGGGATGCAGCTCACAGCCTCACAGCTTTAGGAGGTGAGACTTTCAGATGTACGAATCAAAATCACTGACTTCAAGTCAAATGCAAGTAATGCAACTGGCTGAGACCCGGCTAAGATGGTCTTTGGGCTCAGATGGTTTATACTACTCGGGTGTAACCAATATATACTGGCATATGCTTTTGTAATTTGAAATCAGATCACTGTTTATGTTATTTGTATTCTCTAGCACCATACTCAAAAATGTCAGATCACTGATTAATTGCTGCAGTTGCAGTACTATACAAAACAAGTATGTTACACATGCAGCTACAAAGTCATTGTCAGTGAAGATTTATATTGTAACATCCTGCATTCTTCCCTTTCCAGTTCTGCTTCATCTGAGATCAAAATAGGTTTCTTGTATTAAATTTTAGGGAAAAAAGGACAATAAAAAAACATTAATAGCCCTCTGGTAATATCAATTCATTCCTTTCTCTCTTTTCTCTTTTCTCTCTCTCTCACTCTCTCAGTTGTCTCCTCATGGGGTCTAGGTGTCTAGGAGTATCTCACCTGGTGTGCTGTATTTGCTGCATTGCCTCAGGGGAATTGTGTGGCCGTGTTTGTGCCTCACCTGGTTCTCTGTATTACATTGAGGGGAGCTTGTGGTCATGTTCTTGTCTTTCCTGGTTCGCTGTAGTTGCCGCATTTATATGGATTGTGCGGTGGTGTTTGTGTCTCACCCGGGTCACTGTATTTGCTGTATTATTTTCAAGAGGCTTGTGTGGGTCATGTTCACTCCCTGCCACATACACAGGCTACCCCCGAGGCCTACACAGGCCTCTTATTATCCCGCCCTCGCGTCACCTCTTGTTTTCATTCAGAAGGAGCTGGTGCATTCTCTCTGATTTGCTTCTTTGTCCTCCAGCGGCGTGCCCACAGTGCATGACTCTCAATAAGTGCGGCTTATCTGGCAACATCTTTCCACCGAAAGAGGAACAGGAACGCGTCAGCAGGGTAGAGCAGCACGCTCTCTGTCCTGCAGCTTAGTGACACCTTAGCAGAGGGGCTGATGCAAAAGCCAGCCTTTTATTTTGAAAGAACAAAGCTCAAACTTTGAGGGATAGCTTTCAATTATCTAGCAAATGCTTTCTTTCTTTTTTTCTTCCTTCTTTGCCTCATATTCTGATCTCTAATCAAATGTGGACTTTTGTAAACGTTAGGAGGCAAGATTATGTTTAATTAGGGAGAAAACATTGTTTGTGGGGGGGTACAGGCATAGTGTTTGAACTTTGAAATGTAACTGTGCATCCTGTTGTTTGAGTTTGCTGTGTGGGTGTAAAATGTACCATGCTCCCACACACATGAAGTCCTGCAGCCTCAAACCACACATCCGAGCAGGTGATAAGTACCATAGCAGCTTCTTTAACTTCAGAGGAAGTGCAAAGCGCCACACAGCACTGAGAAAATCGTTTAAATTTCACCTCCTCCTACCTAGCCTTGACGTTAGCCACCCTGCCATAATTTACGATTTCAAGTGTTCAGTCAATACTCTGTTAATTGCGCTTGTGGTAATTCAGGGCAGTAGTTTAATGACTTCATACAGACCTTCACAGTGTTACGGTTGTTGAAAGGGAGGCCGGTCGGTGTCAATCTGCAGCGCGCTACAGGCACAAGACAGACAACCACCTGCAGCATGGCGGGGCGCTAGTAACTGACACTTCGCGATTCGACAGACTCTGCCCCCCTTGGCAGGCGTGCCACGCTCCGTGTGCCAACTGGCAGGAGAAAACGCTGTCAGCTGTGATCCGAGAGACGAGGCCAAGACAGGCAACGCCCGCTAAGGGAGGGAGCGGGGCGGGCGGCGGAGGAGCACTGGGTGGGGTTTTGGGCTGGTGGAGCTCTCGCCTCAGGCATGAGCGTGCTAGTGTCAAACAGTAATGTGTTTGTATGCATCAGACAGGAGCACTCATGCAATGTCAGACCTGTGTGTGCTTAAATCTGACAGGGTGATATATACAGATCTGAGAAAGGCTTGTGATTATATGGGTTAATACTGTGTTATATATACTGCATTCCATTGGCTTTGTACATGTACTCTGCACAATGACAATGAAGTTGAATCTAATCTAACATTGCGTCGTGCTCATGTCTAACAGCAGTGTTCTTTTATCAAGTAGGAGTGGCCTATCAAATCCGTCCATGCAGTTGGTCCAGCATGCCCTCATGACGGTGCAGAAACCACGCTCTGAGAACCCTCAGGAAATGTGACACTGCAAGCTCTGGCCGTTTCTGCGCTCGTGGGAGTGTGCATGTGTGACCGTGTGTGCGCGCAGATGGCGTGTTCTTGGTAGCGTATGCATGCGTTGAGTATGTTCGTGAGAGCATGTTTGTTTGTCACGTCGTCACTCCTGCCTTCTTGTACTGATGAGACTGAGGCAACGGGCCCCCCATTTGAACTCCTCATATGAGGCAGCAGTTGTCCCAGAGCGGAAGCTGATTCTGAACTGCTTTTTCTGTAAAGAGCAGTTTGACTCTTTGTGAACCAGGCCGGAAGTGAGGATCAATTATGAAAGTAACTGAGCTTCCCCTTTTGAAGAAAAGTCGAGCAAATCCAGGTTACGGCAAAAGCTTTCCCCTCCTGCCTGTCACCCACCACTGTCTGTGTGGACTTTATTTTGACACGAACCAGAACATTGTCATGGCTCAGTGGAAAATAATAGTGAGTTGCCATTATAATTCCATTTTATTTTTTTCCACACTTTAACATTCCGATTTATTGCCTTGGAGGTTGTGGCGAAGCTGTTCATCTGGGTTCTTTCAGATGCAGTTGGACCCTCAAAATCTGATTTGGAGGGGAGAGATGACACCAGCTATCCTTGAAAAAATCACCCTGAAGTTTATGTACCTGTGGTAACTCACCTATAAAACACATAAAATTTTAAAGTATGAAGAGATCTAGTGATTTAATTGCCTGTAACTGTGGATGTCACTCACACAACTAATAATGGGAGGAAAAGGTGTGTCACAAATAATCCCATTTACTCGAGCACAAATTGATCATTGTTACCATAGAAACCATAATTTCGTGCCTTCGAACCTGCATGCACTTCCTGGACGCAAGGGGTGGAAACAGTGTATGTGACAGCGAGGGGCGCGCGGACAACTCGTCCTCCAACCGACGGCAACCCGCACCGACACGTTGACACGTCCCACTGGAAAAAAATCTCGCGTGTTTCCAGAGGGTTGCTGTGGAAACCGGGACGGAGGGAAAAAAAAAACCCCCGGGCGTAATCGCGGGAGGCGGGACAGGTGGCTGCGCAGACACAGGGACAGAGTGTGTGAGCACTGCTTAACGATGCAATCTATGTAGATTACACTCAAGGGTCCAGCAGGCAGTGCTGCAAAATGAAAGCAAAAACTGCCCGTCTCCATGGAATGCTCGGATTTGCCCTCAGAGTCTGCTCATCATTCATTTTCACATCATGATTACAGTTTTTGTGACCTTCTGCAAACAGAAACTGGGGGTCCGTACTTCTCGTGTTTGATCTCAAAAGAGGGAACAGACACCGTGGGACAAAAACATACTTTTCTGTTAGGTTAAGATCAATATTTTGGAGATATTTTATTACAGACTCTGACTCGACTCTAATCCCAGACTAAATCATACGTTTGTTCAAGGTGATTTACCGATTGAGGGATTTATCTTGAGAAAAGCTCTGAATTTTAGCTCTGAATATACACTGATGAGAATCTGCAAACTGCTGCCTCTATGATTTTCATGACTAAACCAGAGTTTATCATTTTATATCTGTAACAAAACATAGCACTTCAGTTGTTGCCTTTAGTCCTTGTTTTGTGTTATAGATGTGTCAGTGTGAATGGATACCTGCACTTTATCAGCCAGTGCTTCAAAGAAGTTCTGACCATGAAATTTCAAAAGATCTAAGCAATAGTGTCTTTTCTGCCATGTAAATACGTAATAAATACGTAGCCTCCAAACATCATATAAGGGGCTAGTAACCACTTTCCTCCTATTATTATGTGGTGCTTATCAACAGCCTTCAAAACTCACTCATGCCTTGGCAGCAATCCATTCACATTAAGTTACCAAATCCTTCAGATTGCTCTTATCTGGTCAATGACAGACAATTAGTCAATACTTAAACTTTCAGAGCAACATCTATGGGAAAGCTGAACCTAAAGACGATAAGAACGAGAGGAAACATGGAAGAGTCCCATGAATTAGCCTTTCAGATAATTGTATGTGTGTGTGTGTGTGTGTGTGTGTGTCTGCGTTTCCGAGCTCATTTATAATGTATCACGGAAAGCGCTTTGAAAACGTCACCCCCCTCTGTTCATCACTCAGAGAGACTCCAGCCACCTGGCGCTGATCCCAGAACGGTAGAGATCCACAGAGGGCCAGCGACACTGGGAGAAACCCTAGCAGCCAACCTCAAATATTGATCTGCAGCCTTTGTTTTCAGCGCCTTCAGACTCTTCTTTGAAATTAAA